AACATAAGAAGGGTTAAGGATCACAAATATTTCACAATGGGCTTTCACGAAGTGCAGAATGGGACTAGATATTTCCAACATTACCATGAAGATAAAACCAAAATTATCTCATCCCTTCCCCACCTCTTCACATGGTAACCAAATTAAAGATGTACGTCTGGTGGTGTTTTTTTTGTAACTTTTTGAGTTGCACGTACACGAAGACACGAAATGTACTGTTATATTTTATACTACGTATTGCATTTGATATCTTTTATTCTCAATATTATAAAATTCATTTTTAACTCATATTTCTTAAAATAATGTCTTGCAGATTCTGGCTCGATTTTTTTAATTTACGCTTCCACTTGTGCAATCCTTTTTCATTAGTTTAATGCCATGGCCTAGCTAGGTTTCTGGACATTATTTCTTTATTATAGGAATCGGCCAATCGCCAAGGGTCCGTCCAGAATATATAGATAATGCAAGCTAGTGATCGGAAATAAAATAGAAATAAATATAGGTAAAATTTTGAAGAAACTAAATGAAAATATCGATAGATTAAAAAAACAACAAGCTCAACAGATTTAGTCTCAATCCTTTTCGTAATTTATTTCTATTTATTTATTTATGATAAAGCCAGTGAGTTACCTAAAGTCCTAAACATTCAAAAAGATATACGTAGTATTAGAATATTAATCATATTTTATTATCATTTGTTTTTCTCAAAATAGGTGCAATATAAGAAACAATCATAGATCTCTTTGTCATTATTGCGAGTTTTTACTGTGCGGTGAAAAGCTAATATATCATTGACTATAGTAAATAGACTTGTGATCTGAACTGAAGCTATAAATTTGATCTTCATTTGATAAAATAATTGTGCCGTGTGTTGGAAATATCCAAAAACAATTTTAATACTTACAAAAATTGATTCTCATGCAATGAAAAAATAAAAAAATACCCAAAGACTTTTAAAAATAAATCATATCACACACACACTTCACCGATTAAAGGTATCAAACAGCGACTAAAGAAAATAATACGGAGTAAGAAACTGCCTGCCGCAATAATAACACACTAAATAATAGCGAGGCACAAAAAACACTTGCTTAAGTAGGAAAAACACAAGCATTATCAAACATACCACTCACTACTAAAATAGTGGTCTTTCCTTGCATTTTCCAAAATGAATAGATAGCCCAAAAATCTATTTCTATATAATTGTTAGAGCAGAAAAATCTATTTCTATTTGTTAGAGCTAGCAAACTCATTTTGTACAACACTTCCCGGTTGTTTAGCGTCACAATCAACATCCCCACACACCATCCCTTGCCCATAAGTAACACTTTCTTGTCCACTCAATTTCCTCATTGGCTAATTTTTGTTTGCTAAAAATACTAGTTTAATTTCATATCTAGCTAAATACTTGATCTATCTAGATATGAAAATAAATAAGATAAAAGCGTGCAATCGGTTTTGTTTCAATGTAAAAATTAATATTAATTAATATAAATATAACGAAGTACTTCTAGGTTTAACTTTGAGTGTACCTTTTATGCCAAAATTTTCAAATTAAAGGAAATAAAAACCGAGAAATTCTATATGAAATTGAAAAGCACCCTACAGATATGCCTTTGTGAGTAGGGTTTTTGGATTTCATAGGGTAGATAAAAATAGAAGGAAGAGAAATACGATAAAATGACTAATTTGGTGGAAACGAGAATGACCAATTTGATGGGCAAGAGAATTGAAAAAGACATGAAAACTTTTTTCTACCCTAGAAAAAATAGATGATGAGCCTTTTTACTCTCTTACGAATTACTACGTGCTACTTCAATCAATTGAACTCTTTTTACAAAAATATATTTGTACACGGAGTATAAAATTTGTACATGTTTTGTATAGCCTTAGTTACCTGTGTATACAGGCAGCTCATTTAAAAATTATAATAATTATATTGGGAGATATTTGCACAAAGACGTGTGTAGAAAAAGTGTACACATATTGTGCATGAGAAGAATTACTCATCTTTTTAACATTTGACACTTCCCCAGTTCCCCCTAAATTTGTGTACATATTATTAGAGCATATTTGACATTTTTGCGTACACAGTAGGATATATTTGACACTTTTTCTTAAATTTTATTATATTCAAATGCATTCTTCGAGATTCAATAGAATATATAGCTAGCGTAGCTTCCCTAGCATTGGGACAAAATGGAGCAGTGCAGTTATTCAAAAAAGTGACATTGTGCGATTGATAAATGTTAAATTAATAATATGTAAATAAAGTAGTCGGGCTATCAAAGAAGGCATTTTTCAACAACTCAATACTAAACGAAATTACTCGTACATGCTTATAGACATAACATAGCCCGATAGCCACCCAACTTACACACACATAAATACAACAACCAACCCAATTAAAATCTCACTTTAAAAGTTTGAATCAACAAAGTGCTATATTAAGATATGAGTTCCTCCTCCTATCTAGTTAACGTTTTAGGATGGAAACTCAGTCCTTAACATGATATCAGAGCTAAATTGATCCCCATAACCGTGATGTGAGCCCCTTATGAAAAATGATGATGACTATAAAAAGATGATAATGACAAACTGATGAAATAAAATAAATGACGGCACGATCCAGACATGAGCTCCTGCTTCTATCAGGTTGACCTTTTTGGGATGGAACACTAGTTCTTAACAAGAATGAATTTTAGTCATCCTAAATTTACCAAATATGATACGGAGTATAAGACAATTTTAGTGGGACTAATTAAAAAAGTAAAATAAAAAAAGGGGACAAAAGAAATAATAAATTGAACTAAGAATGTTGAAATGAGCGGAAAATGTAGCATTTTGATAACTCAGAAATACCACTTCAAGCGGAGTCTATGAAAGTATATTTGCGAGTATCTATTCATCCATTTTTTTTTGTCTATTCTCTCCTTTTTTTTATATTAAAATCGGCTTAGATAAATAACTAATAAAAGTTCAGGGGTCAACTGACAAAAAGGAAACTGATAACCGACATCCCTCGAATCAGACTCGGAATTAATCGCCGTAGCAATATAATTCGCTGATTCATAATCAGGTACAAAAAGCCTAACACGGTTACCAAATTCCTCTCATCTCCCACATCCAACATCAACGTCTTACAAACTGGAACAAAAACAAAGAAACACACGCAAAGCAAAAGTAACAATTGTTGGAAAAGTAAACAAAACAAACTAAATAACACCCCTGCCACCGCCAGAGATCAACCCTTGGCGGTGGTTCTGGAGGGGACGGTACCATCGGTACCACACCAATTGATTCTCCATTGACGATCAAAATCTGGAATACACGAAGCCCATTCATTCCTCCGCGTCCCCCTCTTATAGCAAGACTGCAACTAATTGTTTTTTTCTCCGCTGCCCAGCCATGTACAACTTTCATCTGCCTTCCCGCTTCGCCGTGTAAATTCCGTCAGCAAAATTGCCTCCCGGCGAAAACCCTCGCTCGACCCAAAAGACGAAGCGAAACAGTCAAGCCAAAGAATTGACCCGCCGCTGCAGTCTTCGAAGCCCTCCGAGAACACCAGCACCCACTGCCGATCCCGTTCCAACCTAAAGCAATGGCTGAAACGAAAACGGGACAACAAAAGCTACACTAGGCGGCGGCGATAAAGCCGAAACCTAGAGAGAAATCTGAACCCTCAAAGGCTCTTCACCTTTGGAATATGAAGTACTAACGAAGTGAATCAAAACATGAACCAGAAGCTTTACAATCGCCGCTACAGGGGAATCCCAGACTAGTCGATCAAAGCAAAATAGCAGTAAACTATCTCGGCCAATCTAGCCGGACCAAGAACACAAAACAAAAGTGTCCGGAAAAACAGAAAACTTTATTGTCTATTCTCTCCTTGAATACAATAATCGAATATATCGTGTCCTTATATTTTCTATATCACGCAATTATTATCTTTTCGTCTATTTTCTGTTTTCAAGATAAAAGTATCATTGTACTACCTCCGTAACTTAAAAACCGTCCCATTTCAAAAATAGGTAGATTAAGAATAGTGAAAGGGGATATGAATTATTGAGGGTATGATGGGAAAATAGTGGAATAATGTGATGGAATGTATGATAAATCCAAAAAAAGTAGTTGTAATAGTGTATTATTTTTAGAATTGTTGAGAGTATGATGAGAAGATTTAGAAGTGAGAAGATTTTTTTGTCACAGACGAAAAAGGAAAGTGGAAAGATTTTTTTGTTACGGAGAGAATATGCTTGTAACTAATTAATTGAAGTAAATTATTGCCATGATGAAGTGATTCTTCAGAAAAACGACATACTCCTTACTTCTCAAGAAGGTAAATGTAGGATATGTACTACTTTCTCTTTATCCTTGGTCGCAATATAAACTCATCTTTCCCTTTTTAACAAAAATGTGTGGTGTACAACATTTGTCACCATTTTCATTCTCCTCTTCATAACTTTGACTACATATTTTTCACCTTCTCGATCTGTGCCAAGTCAAAACATGAGTTAATATTGGGATGAAAGAAGTACAACATCTTATACTCCCTCCATCCCTAAATAAACATTCCACTTTCATTTTCGGTCTTCCCTACAAAAAGTCTCATTTCCTTGTTTAAACAAAACAATTCATAACAATGTCAAATATTGTCAAATAATATCAAACACAATGTCAAATAGTGTGATTTTTTTAGATTGTGTGTAAAATAAAGTGACATTTTTAAATGGGGACGGAAGGAGTACGTTTATTTGTATTTTTATATTAAGATAGGAAGATACAAAGATGATGCATACCTTCTCTAGAATTAATATTTATATTTATTGATTTATTGATACCTTTAAAGAAGAGTTTGGGAAGGATCATCTCTCCAGTATTATTAGTGTAAGACAGTGAGACCCCCCCAATTGTATGGCATATTATATTGGCTTATTAGGCCCCAAAGCCCACCCTGCACACGACTGGCTACCCTCACCGGGGAACTCCCCTCTATATAAACAACCGCACGCACTTGAATCATGATGACTTAAATACCGAAAACCCCATACTGCCCCTCCCTCTCTCTCTCTCAGAACCTTCTTCCTCAACCATTAATGGATGTCCTCTGGGCTATTCTACTCCCTGTCTTTGCCCTCTGCTTCCTCAGCAGTGCCCTTTTGAGATGGAATGAGTTGAGGTTCAGGAAGAAAGGGCTGCCTCCAGGGACCATGGGTTGGCCACTTTTTGGTGAAACCACTGGTTTCTTGAAACAAGGCCCCATCTTCATGAAGAACCAGAGGGCCAGGTTATTTTTGTAATTTCATCATCTTTTTGATCTCTATTCACTAGCTTCACTAGTCTTCTTTTTCCAAAACTAAGAGTAAAATTGTAGAGATGTGGTAAAGTGAAAAGTAATGAAAGAGGGTGAAACAAGGATGAAAAGGTTAGAATGATTGTTGTTTCCACACCAAACAAGTGTTACTCTATTTGAAATTGCTATTTTTAGTTTAAAAATTGAATCTTTTTTGCTAATATTCACTAAAAGTTTAGACACTTCATTAAAAGTCTCAAAAATCAAGTTCTTGTACAACAAACAAAGACTGTTAATTAGAAAATTCGAAGTGAAGACAATTTTGGGATGGGCAAGAAGTGCAAAATAGGAAGTGGAACAAGTAAAAACGACTTGGGCTTTGTTTGGTAACCAAATTGGGGACGTTTTACTTATGCAAATGATCAAAAGAAGTGGCTTTTGTACTTGGTAACTTTTACTCTATCCATTTTCAGAATGATCTGTTTCACCCGTTGCTGGTTAATACCCAGGAACCAATATATTATGTTTGCCAATTACTGACAAAATCAATTATTATCAATCTAAAAGTCACAAGTTTTAAAGCTATATAAGACCGGGGAATCATTTGATTGAAACGGATATCACTCCTTAATGTCTTAAACATTTTATTTCACTAAAGTTTAATGAAATAATTAATTTTAGTCAAATCACTTTTATCAAAAGTATGCTTAATGTATGTTTAAACTAATAATAACCTGTGTGACAATATCCAGATATGGGAGTTTCTTTAAATCACACATTCTGGGCTGCCCAACGATTGTTTCAATGGATCCAGAGGTGAACAGATACATACTTGTGAATGAGGCAAAAGGTCTGGTTCCGGGCTACCCGCAATCCATGCTGGACATTCTGGGCAAATGCAATATTGCTGCAGTTCATGGCTCTGCTCATAAACACATGAGAGGGGCATTATTGTCACTCATCAGCCCTTCCATGATCAAATCCCACCTTTTGCCTAAAATTGATGATCTCATGAGATCCCATGTTAGCCCCTCTTGGGATGGCAAAGTGATTGACATTCAAGAAAAGACTAACAAGGTTTGTAGTTAGCTATTCATCCTCCCACTTTTATTACACATTCATTAAAAAATATTTTTCAATATGGACCTTGTTTATTACCCCGTTCTAAAATGATTATCCTGTATTTTCTAATTGAGTTGTATCAAATTGATAGTTTTGTTTTCTTTTTGTAAAGAAACTAGAGTAGATAATCATTTATAGAGCAAAAATAATACTCTCTTTTTATAAAGAGCAAAAGTAAAAGAGCGAACAGTGCAATCGAGTGAAAATAATACCACGCTTTCTTAATTTTGGAATACAAAAAGTATAGCCTTATCATTTTTTATTTTGGGACTAAAGTAGTACTTACTAATGTTATCACATAAGTTTGACTTAGGAAGTTACCAACAGTTACTTCCCACTTTTCCTTGGAAATCGGTCAATGTTAAGTTGACTTTTATTTTGTTAAAATATGATTTTTCATTAAAAAAACACATTTTCCTTCAAAGAGTTATCAATTAGTATTGGTTGAGGAATTTTTTATTCAATAAATTATATACGCAAAGCCTTATTAGAATGCTCCTTTTAAAACTGGCACATGGCCATTGATTAGAGTGAATTTAAGTGAATCTGAAAGTCAAATGGGCATAGGATCATTAAATATGATTGAATATATGTTGTTAAAATATCATTATTGGCAAACCTACGAACAATAAATATTGTTTAAGTGAAAGTTAACTTTAGACGTTTTTCTATAGTGAAACTTCTATCTTTAATCATCTCAATTTTTACTTAAAAGGGTAAAAAAGTAAAATATCTCTCTCTCACAAAAGCTTTGCCATCTTTCTTTATTTAATTGCCTTAAAAATTCCATTTATTCAAATCAATCATTATATGATTAAAGTAATTCTCTCGTAACAATTTGAACCAAACAGCTTTTACTTTCTTATTTGAATTATTTGACATGTGATTCAACTTTAGTCATATTTTATTGGACACATGAAGAACTTAATTTCACCTCAAAACAACTCAGAAATTCACATCATAACTACAGACTACAGTAGTACAGTTTGATCAAAACACCATCACTGCCAAACATCTTCAATTCATTTGGATTGTGTCATATTCTTTATAGGAGCAGACATTCTTCAGGCCCAAACACCACACTCTAGACTATCATTAAGAAGCATATTCCATCATATTCAAGTGATGTGAAACATTCTTCTACATACTAATCAATATTAAAAAAACATTCCAGATGGCATTTTTATCATCATTGAAGCAAATTGCTGGCATTGAATCTACCTCCATAGCAGAAGAGTTCATGCCAGACTTCTTTAAGCTTGTACTCGGGACACTTTCGCTTCCAATCAACCTCCCTAACACAAACTACCAGCATGGGTTGCAGGCAAGAAAGAACATTGTCAGGCTACTGAGAAAACTCATAGAGCAGAGAAGAGAGTGTGGGGAAAAACATGAAGACATGCTTGGATTCTTGATGAATGAAGAACAGAATCGATACATGCTAAACGACGATGAGATGATTGATTTAATCATCACACTTTTGTACTCTGGGTATGAAACTGTTTCCACTACCTCCATGATGGCTGTCAAGTATCTCAGTGATCACCCTAATGTTCTTGATGAGCTAAGAGTAAGTTTGATTAGATGACACATTACTGCTTACTATCGGCTTATCGCTGATGATGATGGTTTTAATAATTTTAAATTGAAATTTCACAGAAAGAACATATTGCCATAAGAGAAAAGAAAGCACCTAATGATCCGATTGACTACAACGACTTCAAATCAATGCGGTTCACTCGTGCTGTAAGTTGAATATTATCTGAGCAAAATCTGTATCTTAAACTTTTTACCATTTTATAGTTTCACATAATCTTATACATCTGTGATTTTACTGATGCAGGTGATCTTTGAGACATCAAGATTAGCCACAATAGTAAATGGAGTCCTGAGGAAAACCACTAAAGATATTGAACTTAATGGTGAGGATCATTTATATTCAACACCTATAATAAAAAATTGGGAAATTACTATATTAGACCCTCAAATGTACTCATGGTAAATTTGGTCAATTCGGTCCCCCAATTCTTTTAAAAAATCATCATTTAGCCCCCCTCATACCTTACTCATGGAGAGTAGAGACATTGAATTTGAACATCTTCTGTGATTTGATATGGCACGTGTATCTTTTTTTAGGCCCGGACCTGGGTGGGTACTGCCCTGGGCCTCCATAAAAGCAGCAACCCAATTTCTTTTTAGGTCCATTGATTAATTTCTTTCACCATATTATATATGTGCAAATATATATTTTTATTTTAAAAACTCGACTACCAGTAAAAGAGAGAGTACTTTTATTTAGGGTCTCCTTAAGTTTTCCATCTAGTGCCCTAATAAATTCAGGATGATCAATTTCTGTAATCTTTTTTGTAATAATAATATCAGCATTGAAAAGAGTATAACTTCTGAAGTTATAATGCCCTATTTGAGCATTATGATATAAATATGGTCAGTTTGTTTTCAGAATTTAATTACTTCCTCCTATTTAGGGAAAACTATAGTACTCCTATTCAAGAAGCCAATTTGTTTGTGCTCTCCTATTTGGGGCATTTTAAAAAAGACTGGTTGCAAAAGAAATTGAAAATAAGAGAAACATTGAGTGACTAAAACAGCAGTTTCCTTTCTCAAACACAGAACAAGAAACATTCATTATTTACCACATGAGTAAAATGTGCAGGAACATACATACATAGCACAAAGCATCTGATGGGGGAATGAGTTAAAATAGAGATAATCTTCCCAAACAATGGACCCTCTCTTTATCTTCCATTCACATGGCTTACCTACCATTCCAGCCTGCCTATACACCCCATGTGTTTTGCCTTCCTGTCTAACTTTGTTCCTTAATCATTATTACACAACAGAAACACAAACAAGAACACCCAAATTTAGATTAGTGCATCTAATAAGGCTGAGAGAAGGAAAGAGAGAGAAGTTGCATGATTAAGGAAAGAAAAAAAAATATATTATACTATTGGCCTCACCTTATCCTTGTGTATCTGCAGGTTATGTCATTCCCAAAGGATGGAGGATATACGTGTACACAAGAGAGGTCAATTATGATCCTGGACTATATCCTGATCCATATACTTTCAATCCATGGAGATGGCTGGTCAGTAATTTTCCCTGATTTACCAACCTTATTGTTTTTTTTACAAATGTAAAGGGTTTTACTAAATAAACAAAAAAATAAATGCAGGATAAAAGCACAGACAACCAAAATCATTTCTTGATGTTTGGAGGGGGGGACTAGGCAGTGTCCTGGGAAAGAGCTTGGGATAGCTGAAATCTCAACATTTCTCCACTATTTTGTAACTAGATACAGGTAAATACACATACTATCTCACTTTCAAAGTTTCAATGAGATTAATACTAGCAGACACTTATTAAATGTGACATTATCAGGTTTATTTTGTGAAACAAAGTTAGACATGTGATCATTAGCCATTGAATGTGTACAATAAGAGTATCTACCTAATAGAATATTCATATTTTTTTTTGCAAGGAAGAATATTCTTATTTAACATTATTGAAGTATTTGTCCCATATCTTTTATACATAAAAGAATAAACCAATCATATTTTGAATCACTCCTATCGGATTAATTAGGCCGGAAATAAGTTTAATATGAGATGAGTCTAGTTCGATTGTAGTTTTGCCTTTTTGTTTGTTTGGGTAGTTTAGAATTCATTTTTTCCATTTCTCCACTTCAACTTGTAGTCATGTCATGTTTTTGCTTGTGGGACATGTTGAACTATTTACCTAGTTAAATAGTAGTACTCCGTATAAAGTTATAAAGTACTTGTTATAACTGACATGTAAAATTTTGGCTGTCTTATCAAAACATCATCTCAAAGCTAGATAATAAGGCATTAACTGCAAATAATTGTTTCATATGGTGGATGGAATATTGTTAATTTCAGGGTTTATTTGGGATACTGTTCAGTTTCTGATTCTAATTCTTGTACTGAATTTGGAATGCAGATGGGAAGAAGTAGGAGGGGATAAATTGATGAAATTTCCGAGAGTTGAAGCACCAAATGGACTACATATCAGAGTTTCATCCTACTAACTAACCAATTCATAATGGGTTGGAGATTATTATATTGTACATAAGGAGAAAGGACGCAGAATGTGATTGTGAATATGAGCAAAGATGTAAATCGTCCTCTAACACGTAGAAAGTAGTCTATGTACCCTATTTTTTGCAGGATGTATAAATAGGCATGTTTCCCATTTTAATAGACTCCATTTCAGACCGTGCAAGTAGCCAAATATTGGGTGTTGATTGATTATAAAGAGGTAGATTCTATGGTACTAATAATGTACCTTACTTTTGTCCACATGGACTAATGAGAATGTAGTAGTTGAATTATTTAAATCTAAATTAAAAATGATAAAGTGATGTGGTCCAATCAAATGAATGATAGGTACGGTACCCTATTTTTTTAAAGGGTACCGGTGTTGTCACCAAATAAAGAAGGGTCGTTCTATGGTACCTTTGTAATTTGGAAGGTACGGTACAATTGTATACGTGGGCTAATAATACTACAACACTTGGAATTTCATTAAACGAACTACATATGACATGGAATTTAGTTTTGTTCAAATTTTAATGAATTGCACTTAGGTCCATCTGTTAGCCGTTTTCATTTGACGGCTTAAGGAGGTTATTTCCGGTTTTTTCACACAAACAAAACGGAGGCACCTGAGTGGCGGAATTAAAATTGCGGATTTGAGAGAATGAAAGCTTTTTCATGAATGCTTAGACGGCGATAACGCCACAGGACGACGATGGAGAGGCGCTGTCGGAGACGGTGAGGTTTTTCACTGTTCCGCCCACTTACGTGGCTGCCTTCCTTTATGCTAGGTCCGTTTCCCCTTTAGGTTGTGCAAGACTACAAGTCCTTAAGTGATAACTATTACTTGGTACATGGTAATAGTTTATATTAATTAGGAATAATTATGTATTTTGGAAACTTCCTTTTATTATAAATATACCTGCCAGGGCTCCTATTGGAGTACGGCTTTCCCATTATTCTCACATGGTATCACGAGCCTAACCTAATCTCCCCTTCTCTCTCAAATTTTTCGGTCGCCTCATGAGTTCCCCCATGACTTCGGCCGCAGCAGTGGCTTCGACCACCGTGGAATCGTCCGTCGCGGCCGTCATCACCACGGCGCCGGCAGTCCACTTCCCCACCTCACCCATACCGACGGCATCTATACCCTCTTCCTCAACTCTTTTTACAAATTTTCCACCGCCGCCGATCTACTCTATGGCTGAACCTTACAGCCTCTTCCAGTCGATGCCACCTCACTTCCCGGGTCAGCCACCTCTTTTTCGGCCTTCTATACCGGCTTCTCCAACACCGCCGCCATCTTCTCCGTTTTTTGGCTCGACGTTCTCCGGCACCACAGGCATCATTCGGCCGCCTGACCACACTGGTTTTGGTTCTCCTATGTCGGCCCTTGCTCAGTCCGTGTCGCATATTACCACGGTCTCTCAAATTGTTACCATCAAGTTGAAGGCGGTGGAAGATTATCTCACTTGGCGCACTCAGTTCGAATCCTTCTTGGTTTCTCAAGGCTTATTTGGTATTGTTGATGGATCAATTGAGGTACCTCCTATGCATACCATTGATTTTGCTAACCGTCAAGTTCCAAATTCCGAATATTATTATTGGTTACGAGTAGATCAAACAATTCGTTGTTGGTTGTTTGCTACTTTAACACGGGATGTTTTAGTTGATGTTCATGACTTAAAACATTCTGCTGCAATTTGGTCTAGACTTCAGACTCGTTTCATGTCTGCTAGTCTACCACGTTGCATGGAACTTAAACGGTTGTTATCCACCATCAAAAAGAAAGAAAATCAATCTATGGAACTTTATTTACGAGAAATCAAGAATATAGTAGATCCCCTTGCTGCAATTAATTCCCCTGTCTCGGATAAAGAACTTCTTCAATCAATTTTGGCCGGCTTGGGTCCATAGTATCGATCCTTGGTCACTACTGTGTCTCTATTTCCTCATCAATTTCCGTTTGACATCCTACAACCCCGTCTTCTGGAAGAAGAACAACGAGTTCTGTCTGAGCGTCAACAACAAGTTTCGGCCGGGCATCAGGCCTTTGTGGTTGCTGCCGCCGGTGGACAGCAACCGGCTGGTTATCCAACTCGCGGCAGAGGAGGCCGCGGACGGGGTGGTGGCCGTGGCAGAGGAGGACGCGGTCGAGGTAGGGGTCCGCCGTATCAATACGGCCCGCAGCAGCATCCTGGTGTTCCCTCCTTCGGCCAGCAACAAGTCGGTTCACAGCAACACTTCAGCGGCCAGCAGGGGTTGCCTCAACAGGGAGCAGGGTCGAGCTAGTTGGGGTATAGCTTCGGTCAACACGGTCAGCAGGTTTCATTTCAGGGGGTGGCTTCTCCTCGTCCACACACTTCAGGTTCTGCATATAATTCAGCTTTGTCAACTTTAAATACTAATCCCTATTTTATTTATGATACTCATAAAAACACTGCAGGTTTTCCATCGGGTGAGGGCATCCTGGGTTCTGTTCCACCTCCCATTGTCTGTCAATTGTGTTTTTCTGCAGGTCATTCTGCTCTTCAGTGTCCATCTCGCTTTAATCAGTCATCTGCTCCAGCTCTTCTGACCTCCAATACTGGTGAAACCAATTCTGCTTTATGGTACCCTGACTCTGGGGCTTCGGCTCACATGACTCCTTCGGAAGGTATTTTAGTAAATAAAATTCCTTATACCGGTCCACTTTCTGTTAGTGTCGCTAATGGCTCTAAACTTCCGATAGCTAATATTGGGGATGTGCATTTGAATTCTTGTAGCCGTTCTCTCACGTTAAAATCTGTTTTTCATGTGCCTCATATTAAATTTAATTTATTATCCATTCAAAAACTTTGTGCTGATAACAACTGTGTTGTAATTTTTGATAAAAATTCCTTTTTTGTTAAGGACAAAACTTCGGGGAAGGTCCTTCTTCAAGCACCTAGTCATGGTCATCTCTATCCAGTCAGCGTCAGCCCCAAGCTTCCACTTGCATTGTCTTCCATCACTTCATATGGCCCTGTGTGGCATCGTAGACTAGGCCATTGTGGCACATCTATTTTACGTAGTTTACATAGTCAGCATCATATTAGCAGTAGCTCTAGTTTTTCTCACGATTGTATTTCTTGTCGCCTAGGCAAATCACAACGCTTACCCTTTACGGATGCTAGTCATAACTCTACTATGCCTTTGCAATTAATTCATTCTGATGTTTGGCAGTCTCCCATTTTATCTAATTTGGGGTTTAAGTATTATGTGTGTTTTATTGATGATTTTTCTCGCTATACTTGGCTCTTTCCTATGCGAACTAAGGCTGAAGTTTTTCATCACTTTCAAAATTTTAAATCTTTAGTTGAAAATCTTTTTAACACACGCATTAAAATTTTTCAAAGTGATGGAGGGGGTGAATTTGTTAATTTTAATATGCAGCAATTTTTTGATCTTCATGGCATATATTTTCGAAAATCCTGTCCTGAAACGCCTCAACAAAATGGGGTTGCTGAACGCAAACATAGACATTTATTAGAACTCACTAGAACTATGCTTCTCGAAGCATCACTACCTAGTCAGTTTTGGGTAGATGCTATTTTTACGGCTACATATATTATTAATCGTTTACCCTCTCCTTTACTTAGCAATCGGTCTCCATATGAAAAACTTTTTCAAACATCACCTGATTATTCCTTTATGCGTGTGTTTGGTTGCTCCTGTTTTCCAAATATTTCGGCTACTTCTGCCAATAAACTCTCTGCTCGATCTATTCATTGTGTATTTATTGGCTATGCATCTGGCTATAAAGGGTATCGTTGTCTTGAGCCTAAGTCCGGTAAAGTTATTGTCAGCCGTCATGTTCGTTTTCTTGAAAATATTTTTCCATATAAATCATTGTTGTCCTCCATACCTGTCTCGACTTCTTCCCCCGATAATACTGAGTTTCACTTGACCAATACCCTTTGACCATCACTGTCACAACCCATCCATTCCTCTCCTCCACACCAAGCTGGTCCAGCTTCAACCTCGGCTCCAGCCGCTACCCGGCCGGCTGCTACCAGCTCGGCACTTCTTCCCACTTCACATTGCCCGCCTCTTCACGCTACCCGGTCAGCTGCTACAACCAGCCCCACCTATTCCTCTTTTACTCCTTCGGACCAAACCCCACCCGCCTCTCCACACTGCCCGAACGCCCAACAGCAAACCCACAGTCACACCGCCACACCTCCATCGCCCAGACCGCATATTTCCTCCAACACGTCCAGCCAGTCCTCTTCTCCTTGTTCCGTTGCATCATCCTCCCCGTTGAATATTCATCCTATGCAAACCCGGGCTAAGTCCGGAATTTTTAAACCTAAATCAATTTTTACGTTAAACACAGTTGTTAACTCAGCGGATCCAACTTGTTTTTCTGAGGCTCATAAGAGTTTGGTTTGGCGTGAGGCAATGGCTGAAGAATTTAATGCACTTATTTCTAATAATACTTGGGATTTAGTTCCATTTGATGGCACTAAAAATGTGGTTGGGTCTAAGTGGATTTATAAAACTAAATTCCATTCGGATGGGTCGATTGAGCGTCATAAAGCTCGATTGGTTGCACAGGGCTTTAATCAGCAGGCTGGGATAGATTTTTCTGAAACTTTTAGTCCTGTCGTTAAACCCACCACTGTTCGTATTGTTCTTTCTCTTGCTATATCTTTTGGATGGGTTATGCGTCAGTTAGATGTCAAAAATGTGTTCCTTCATGGCTATCTTACTGAAGAAGTCTATATGCGTCAACCGCGGGGTTTTATTCATCCCCAGTTCCCTCATCATGTGTGTCGTCTGCGTAAGGCTATTTATGGTCTTAAGCAGGCCCCGCGGGCTTGGTTTCATCGTTTCAGTAGTTTTCTGCTTACACATAATTTTGTATGCAGTAAATCTGATAATTCCTTATTTATCTTTCACCATGGTCAGTCAGTTATTTATTTATTATTATATGTTGATGATATTATTGTGACTGGTAATTCTCCATCTCTTGTGTATGCCTTTATTCGTCGTATTGGGTCTCATTTTGCTATGAAAGATCTAGGTGACCTCCACTATTTTTTGGGGGTTCAGGCTGTTCGAAACTCTAAAGGAGTATTTTTATCTCAACAAAAATATGTGTCTGATCTTCTTCTCCGTTTTCATCTACACACTCTCAAGTCTGTTCGTACACCTCTTGCCACTCGCACAACTCTCTCCCTCACTAATGGTGAACTTCTTGCAGATGCCACTGAGTATCGAAGTATGGTAGGTGCATTACAGTATTTAACTTTGACTAGGCCTGATATTACTTATGCAGTTCATTTAGTGTCTCAGTTCATGCATGCTCCACGCACTACTCACATGCTTGCTGTCAAGCGCATATTTCGGTATTTACAGGGTACTATTGATCATGGATTATGG